AGAATGTCTTCTTATCCACACTCTTACCTCTACCACATATAGAGATAAGCAGCTCACCAAATTATAAGACCCCAAAATTTGAGAGGCCAAATGCGTATAATGTGTCAATTTCACAAGAAACAAAAAGTGCATCAAGATGTGTGAGACTTCTTAATAAATTTATCTGCACTGCCAGCAAGTCAAGGGACAGACCTTGCCAGAGGTTATATGGACTTTATCCTCATACAGTATAATCCAGAATCACACATGTTACAGCTCTCCAGATTGTGAAATCAGATGTGTTCTAAGATAACCCCAGAAAAAAAAATTATCCACTGGTACAGATCATTCAAATCAATATATTCAATAAACATTAAAAACTGAATAAAACAAAAAAGTCCACCATATAAATAAATGTATGAAACCACTTAACCACATGATATCCTCTAATTATACTGTCAAAGCAGAAATGCCATGCATGGACCCACAAGCATGTATGTGGACATGCATTATGTGCATGTGTAACATGATGACACCATTGTCCAAAAGCTCTACCCGATGCATTTCATCACCAACTGATGTCCCCATGGGCCAGCTATCTAGCCATTACATGGTAGGGACAAAAAGGACAAGAGTGTTGCCTTTTTGTCATACATTGTCCATTGGATGATTCTCCAGCATTTACAAAACATATTGAGCATGTCCATTTGCCCCATCAAGTCATATTTACTTCCATTTGCATATTTGTTAATGCAAGGAAGGACCTAGAACCTTATCCTGGAGGGAAAACACTAGCCCTATACATGGTAGGCACAGACTTTTGTCGGCTAAAATAAGTGTGCCATGGTGCTGCAATGATTGTTGAGCCTGACGAAAGCTGGTTAGGCAGGACAGAGAAAGATTTTCACTAACAATAGAGCAATCAGCACAAGGGAGACATCCTACTGGGTGCAAGTTAAGTGCCTTGTTCTGATTGTTCTGTTTGTGATTTTGGCTGCACTTAGACTTTAATTTCTCCATTGCACATGGGAGAACCATAGACACATTTCTGTTTACAAAATGCAGGTCTGCCTTCAGAACAGTTTTTTTTTAAATATTATAGATTCTCAGACACAATTGCTACTGGACACATCAGTATCTGCAGTACTCTATGGCACACTGTAATTTCAAAAGAACATGTAATAAATAAAACAACTTATTCCATTACCCTACCTAAGATTGCTTTAAAGTACGCTTGTCAAGACATGCAAATATGGAGCCTGCTATTTTTCACCTAATTCTAAAAATGCTAGTTGCCTGGCTGTGCCCAGTTTCAATACTTCTGAAGAAGTGTTGAACTACAACAAGCCTACGGCAAATAATAGTACTGAAGAACAAGCACCAGTGTGACAAATACGTAGCTAGTATTTTTAGCAGGAGAGCTCAGCAATGGCAGCATACATATTTCTTTCAAGAAAAGTTTACTTTATGTAAACAGTAGCAAGGCAATATAAGTGAAAATAAATATTTTTTTTACATGGAAATGATTTTTTATAATTAAATATTATACCTAATTTTTATTTTTCAAATTATTATTTTGTTATTCCAATTTCCCCGTCCCCAGCTACAATAATTGTAATCAATGTGCCTTTTTCCTATCAGTGGATCCTAGTTTATTTATTCCTATATTATGAAAATATTGTCAGAGGAGGGAGATACCATCATTTGCCAATGCAATGCTAATAGCAGCTGAGAAGAACTGTGAGTTCTGGTGAGGCAGACACTCAGGTCTAAAAAAATTGCATAATTCTGCATTTAAGAGAAAAAAAAATTGTTAATTTCACTGATATGATGATTTGCACACAACCCAGCAAGTGATTCAGCAACAACGTAAAACTGAAACATTAGTTTTGGGTAGGATTTACTTTTGATAACATGGCAATCAGTCAACAAACATCACCCATTGTACTCATTACTTTACACTCATGAATAATTATATTGTTCCTCTGAGAAAAAATATGTTTTTATCTATGTTAGCTTGTTCTTAGTAATTGTTTTGGAAGTAAAATTATATTAAAGAATTTTTATATCCTATGTATTGTTAATTTCTAAATGAGAGAGTTTTCACATTTAAATAATTTATATCATCTGGTTTATACAGATTATGTTAGATGAACCCTTCTTGTCTATATATGCGCCACGCTAATATTCTTATTTTGTTAGCAGTGTGACTAAAATAAATCTAATGTAAGGGTGGTTTTATTGACTACTGTAGCCCGGAAGGGAGATTGTGGGGTTTATTTACTAAAGCTGGAGAGTGCAAATTCAGGCTCACTTCTGCATAATGAGCTTTATTGCCAAAACCTAAGCAAGGTGAGGTTAGAAGCTGATTGGTTTCTATGCAGAAGTGAGCCTGATTTGTATTCTCCAACTTTCGTAAACAAACCCCTGTATGTACAAGGGATTGTAGGAGTTAAATGGGCACATTTTAAAGTCTATATTTAAGTGTAAACATTGCATACAGATCTTTATTAAATGATCGGATGAAGATGAATAGTTTCTATGCTCCGTGTGTGTGTGTATACAGTCATGGCCGAAAATTGTTGGCACCCTTGATATTTCTCCAGGAAATCATGTATTTCTCACGAAACGTATTGCATTAACACATGTTTTGCTTATATGTTATTCCCTTTGTGTGTATTGGGACAAAACACAAAAAAAAAAGGGAGGAAAGAAAGCAAATTCGACATAATGTCACACTAAACCTAAAAATGGGCTGGACAAAAGTATTGGCACCCTTTCACAACTGCGGATAAATAAGAATGTTACAAAGCATGTGATGCTCCTGTAAACTCACCTGGGGCAAGTAACAGGTGTGGGCAATATAGAAATCACACCTGAAAGCAGATAAAAAGGAGAGACGTTCCTTAACCTTTGCATTTTTGTGTGTCTGTCTGTGCCACACTAAGCATGGACAACAGAAAGAGGAGACGAGAACTGTCTGAGGACCTGAGAACCAAAATTTAAACTGGCAAAATATCAACAATCTCAAGGTTACAAGTCCATCTCCAGAGAACTAGATTTGCCTTTGTCCACAGTGCGCAACATATCAAGAAGTTTGCAACCCATGGCACTGTAGCTAATCTCCCTGGTCGTGGACGGATGAGGAAAATTGATGAAAGATTGCAACGCAGAATATGTCCGGATGGTGGATAAGCAGCCCCAAACATGTTCCAAAAAAGTACATTTGTCCTGCAGGCTCAGGCATCAGTGTCAGCGCGAACTATCCATCGACATTTAAATGAAATGAAAACTATGGCAGGAGACCCAGGAGGACCCCACTGCTGACACAGAGACATAAAAAAGCAAGACTACAGTTTGCCAAAATGTACTTGAGTAAGCCAAAAGCCTTCTGGGAAAACGTCTTGTGGACAGATGAGACCAAGATAGAGCTTTTCGGTAAGCACATCATTCTACTGTTTACCGAAAACGGAATGAGGCCTACAAAGAACAAAACACAGTACCTACGGTAAAATATGGTGGAGGTTCAATGATGTTTTGGGGTTGTTTTGCTGCCTCTGGCATGGTGCCTTGACTATGTGCAAGGCAATGAAATGAGGATTACCAAAGGATTTTGGGTCGCACTGTATGTCAGAAAGCTGGGTTTGCGTCAAGATCTTTTCCAGCAGGACAATGACCCCAAACATACGTCCACTCAGTATGTGGAGAGTTCTGAAGTGGCCAATATGAGCCCAGATCTAAATCCCATTGAACACCTGTGGAGAGATCTTAAAATTGGTTGGGAAAATTTTAATAGAGAGACCTGGAGCTGTTTGCAAAGGAAGAGTTTCCGGGTGAGAGTGTAGAAGCATTGATGGTTATAGGAAGCGACTGATTTCAGTTATGTTTTCCAAAGGGTGTGCAACCAAATATTAAGTTAAGGGTGCCAATACTTTTGTCCAGCCACATTTTTGGGGTTTTGTGTGACATTATGTCATATTTGCTTTTCTGCCTCTGTTTTTTATTATATTTGTTCCAATACATACAAAGGGAATAAACATGTGTATAGCAAAACATGTGTTAATGCAATACCTTTTTTGTGTGAAATACTTGATTTTCAGGAAAAATATCAAGGGTGCCAACAATTTCGGCCATGACTGTATATAAATATATATATATATATATATATATTATTAGTATGTATGCTACATTACATATATTTTTCTGATTTTCATAATACTACATTTTAACAAGTGCTCTATGCTTTTCTTATTTTACATGACAAAATATTTCTAATATTGACATGCAACTTCTGATGCCATATTGGCAATCATCACTTTGTTTTATGTTATTATTCCAATAATCATTATAGATGTCTGTTACTTCTTAATGGAAATGTCATTAAAATTCATGACAGAATTGCATTTGGCATTACCCTATATACTAAGTAAAACATCTCTGGGGTATACTACCCTTTTATTTAATAAAGAAAACTGTGTACCATAATATACTGCTTTCAAAATGAATCACCTTTTAGAATATTGTGGCTTTTAAAGCATGTAAGTCAATTTCTTCAAACTACATGTCACATCTTGTGTTCTACAGAACATTGAAGGAAACACAGATTCTAATGCAACCCTTCTTATCCAAGTCATTATTAGAGCTTTCATAATTTAAAAAAAAGTACAATGGATTGTTTTAAATTTATTACTATGTAAACATAAATATGGCACCATTTAAGTACTGTATGAAATATTTTGAGGCTCATAAATAATGCTGGCTTTTTGCCAATTGTTTTAAGTTTATATCACAGACAGGCTTTGTACATACCACGTAACTGGCACATAGGAGATGTCCAAGAGTCCATTTTACAGCATAGAACCTTATGTTCTATTTTAATAGCAACACACATGACATAGATACTAAATAGATGTCTTCAAAAGCTACCTACTGCTACTATAGGTAGGTGCAGATGTTGCGGCAATGTATTGTAGTTACAAAGCACTATGGGATGCTAGGAGTGCTAAGTAGTGTCTGAGATTTTACTTGCAGCTCTGAAGTCTTGTTCTGTGATGTTTCTCCTTTGATAAGGCAGGGATGAATGTATCACTATGAGAGGCCTTAAGGTGGCTCCACATATACATGTCCTCAGAACCTCCAGTGTCACGTCTGAACCCTCTGAGGTCACGACCTCCAGAGTGAAGTTCCATCAGCTCTAATTCATGCTTGGTGGCGGTCTCTAAAACCCTCTGTTTGTTATAATACTTCACAAAATTGTTGATAATAGGGTGAATTGGCAGGGCAATAGCAATTACTCCACAAAGAAAACTTGTGGCTGCATTTAGTTTGCCAAGAGTGGTTTTGGGGTATATGTCACCATAGCCCACTGTGGTCATGGTGATGATGGCCCACCAGAAAGACTGAGGGATGCTTTTAAACAAGGTATCTGGATGACTCTGTTCCATAGTGTACCCCAGAGCTGAAAAGACAAAGATCCCCACTGCAAGGTACATCAAGAGTAGACCCAACTCCTTAAAACTGCTCTTGAGGGCATAGGTTAGGGTCTGCAGCCCAGAGGAATGCCGGGCCAGCTTAAAAATCCTGGCAATCCTCATGATCCTGAGGGCTTGGACAGCCTGCTGGACATTCGTCAACTCCATCATACGTGCCCCTAGATGGGTCAGGGTAAGGCTGACATAGAATGGAAGGATGGCCAGCACGTCAATGATATTCATGAAGGAAAATGTAAAGTGTAACTTGTTGGGGGAAGACATGAGTCTAAGAAGATATTCCAGGGTAAACCAGCCAATGCATGCTGTCTCTATGTTGTCTAGAACAGGGTGCTCTACATGGTTCCCTTCTGCATCTTCCACCTGCATTTCAGGAATAGTCCCTACACACTCACCACTGATGAGGTCAAGATGAAGAGGAAGGACAGCACAGCTGTGACCCTGGCAGGAAAAGAGGATTCTGGTTTCTCCATGAACTTCCAGACATATTTCTGAAACCTCTTCCAGCGGCTCTCAGTGGTGTCAACTCCTAGGTCATCCAGGATGGTCTGCACCCTCCTAGCTATCTCCTCCAGTTCCTCCTTCTTCTCACTTAGATGGCTCTTACAGCACTCATCCAGAAAGGTCAAGTCTACTTTCCAGAACTCCATCTCGTTCTTAAAACAAATGGGACATATCCCCTTCTTCATGTGGACCTCTCCATAGTAGTACACCTCCATTATACATTTGAAGGCATCAGGGTCTCTGTCAAAGTAAAATTCCCTCTTCCCAGGGTCATAGTCATCACATAAAGAGAAGATAGCATCATAACCTCCAGCCAAGCAGTTGACCAGCTCTGCCAGTCTGGTTTCTGGGTACCTGTTTAGGATGTCTCCATAGAGGATTTGCCTGATGCCTCCAACATTGACTATGATCTCTACCTCCTCACTGCAGTCAGACCCGTTCCTGCTCAGCTCCTCAAAGCTGGACCCCATGATCATGTTGGCTTAAAAGAAAATCAGCGATCCAAGAAGTTCCCAGTATGTAATAATTTCTACTGAGCCCTCCAGCACTCTGTATAGGAAAATATTGGTCACATCGCTCAATAACCTGCACACCGCATGCCACATAAATGATGGGACCAGCAATAAATCAGATGGGAATGCTATATATAATGTTCATTCATTAGATGCTTCTTACTCCCCAGGGCTCATCTCCTTTCCAGCGAATCCATAGACATAGGGCTGCTGCTACAAGTGCTGTCCCAGCTCTCTTCTCCTCCAGCAACGAATGAAGCAAATAGGATTTCATTGAGAGATGCAGTTAACCATCAATATGGTGCTCCCTGGAGAATAGAAGAGGCCATAGAGAAAAAGGCAGCGATGTGCGATCTGCGATCAGAGCGGAGGAGGCTCGCAGGGTCCTGGCTGGATCTCATGTCAGAGCTCTCCTGACACTGTGCAGAAGGGGAAAGTTGCGCTGCTTTATCCAGGGCTGGAGAAGAGCAGAGTAGGAATCCCGGCATGACGTCACAGACCTTTAAGAAGGCTTCCCCCTCCTGGGGACACCAAGGGGACAGCTCCGCACAGGGGACCACATAGGACTGCATGTGACAAGTGGCAGAGGGTTGCCTTTCACTGAGACAGAACTTGCATTAGCTATGGAAACAGATCAACAGTAGGCACTGAATTAGGAGCATGGTTATACTGGCAGCTTGGGAGGGAGAGAGGGAGGACAGGGAGAATACTCACGGAAAGTAGACTTTGGTCATTTAATGTCAATGCCATACTGGCTTCTTTAGTCTTTAGGGAAAGGAGAGAGGCAAATATACTGTGTATACTTGAGAGAGAGAGAAGTCTAAGCACTATTTAATCTTCTGCATATACATACATATTATACATACAGGTATATTCTCTTTTTTATTTGAGAGGGGAGAGAGAGAGGGAGAGAGAGAGAGAGAGAAGAGAGAGAGAGAGAGAGAGAGAGAGAGAGAGAGAGAGAGAGATCTGAGCACTTTCGGTGCCATTTGTTAAGACCGTATGCATACATGCATATTATAAATATATTCTTTTTTAAGAGAGAGAGAGGGAGATCTAAGCACTATTTAATCTTCTGCATATAAATATATATTATAAATACAGTGATATTCTTTTTTATTTGAAGAGAGAGAGGGAGGGACAGAGAGGGAGAGGGGATGGGGGGGGGGGGGGGAGAGAGAGAGAGAGAGATCTGAGCACTTTCAGTGCAATTTGTTAAGACCGTATGCATACATGCATATTATAAATATATTCTTTTTTAAGGGAGAGAGGGAGATCTAAGCACTATTTAATCTTCTGCATATAAATATATATTATAAATACAGTTATATTCTTTTTTATTTTGAAGAGAGAGAGGGCGGGAGAGACAGAGAGGGAGAGGGATAGGGAGGGAGGGGGGGGTAGAGAGAGAGAGAGAGAGAAAGAGAGAGAGAGAAGCACTATTTAATATTCTTGATATACATACACATATTACAAACATATAATTTTTTATTTGAAGAGAGAGAGAGAGAGGGAGATCTAAGCACTGTTTAATCTTCTGCATATACATACATATTATATAAATACAGGTATATTCTTTTTTATTTGAAGAGAAAGAGGGGGAGAGAGAGAGAGAGAGAGAGAGAGAGAGAGAGAGAGAGAAAGATCTAAGCACTATTTATTCAATATACATATTATAAATACAGGTATATTCTTTTTTTATTTGAAGAGGGTGGGGGGGGGGGGAGAGAAAGCGAGGTCTAAGCCCTATTCAATCTTCTGCATATACATACATAATTTAAATATACTCTTTTTTTATTTGAAGAGAGAGAGGGAGTGGGTGAGAGAGAGAGAGAGAGAGAGAGATCTGAGCACTTTCTGTGTAATTCGTTAAAACCATAAAACCATATACATACATGCATATTATAAATATATTCTTTTTTTAAGAGGAAGAGAGGGGAAGGGGGGGGGAGAGAGAGAGAGAGAGAGAGAGAGAGAGAGAGAGAGAGGAAGAGCCCTGAAGAATATTTCAGCACTATATATTAGAAATATATTCTTCTTTATTCTTAAGAGACAAGAATAATCCAGAGGGTGAAAGGGGGGCAGATGAGATGTATGCTAAAAGAGAGAGAAAGGAGCCAGAAAGAAATGCTCTGTAATGCCCTATAATGCAAGATAAAAAATATTGATAATATATACTCTTTTTTTTTTTAGGGAAAAGGAGACTAAAAGTAGGAAATAACCTGGCAGATGAATAAATACAGTGTGGGAGAGGAGAAAGAGAGATAGGAGAGAAAAAGAAGTCTAAACACTCTGTTATGACCCATGTAATATGTCAGCACTTTATAATTACTGGAAATAAACACAAGAGTAAAAATGCTGCGTAAATTGACGGCAGCTATATACACATACCTTTAATAAATAAATAAATATTAAATGGTGCATCCAGAGATAGAGGTAAAGTAAAAGAGCCAGTCGGAAAAGGACCGATTATATGAAATGAGAACCCTGGTGCAGAAAGAGAAGAGTCTGTTGGAGAGATGTGGAGTCTGAACTGGCCAGAGAAGGGGAAAATCTGGTGTCTCTTTGTAGATAGTTTCGTTTCCTTAAAAGTGATATTACAGTTTTTGGCAGTTGCTTGAGACATCACCATCCCAGTTTCTTAAATAATTTGGGGGTTCTGTTGGTGAGATTTGGGCTCTTAGGTTGTTGGGTCTGTACCCCTGCTGTAGCCTTTAAAGGGGGGTACACCTATCTCTCTTGGATTTTTTAATGTATAATTTTACATGTATTATGCATCAGGAAGTGCTGCTAAGGAGATGCTGAAACTCCAAAATCCCAGGTAGAAATAGATAAGACATGTCAAAAGACAGGGGCAATTTTAGCCTGCAAGGATATACCGCTAAAGTGTTACTAAACCCAGGACCCTGCATTCACTATATCTGGTCTCCCACAGTACACAGAACATGGAAATTCAATTATTTTAGTAAATATAAACTGCTAAATACCTTTTCTCATCAGCAGTTAGAGCAGTCTTCTGACTTCTATCAGTGTCCAGCCGAGCGCTGGTTAAAGCTTGTAGGAGTTTTCATTTTGCTTTCAAAGGATGCAGAACCCCTGACCTCTGTCTGGACAGTGCTGATTAGCCCTGTGCTGATCACATGCACTCTCCCAAGAAAAAAAAAAAACCTCTCTAGCAATACACACCAAACTGAGCAGGTGCATAGTGACTCCACACAATACAATATGTATTATCAGGAGATAAAAGGGGGGCACTGGAAGAAGGGGAGGATCAAAGAAGACAAGATAAAACAATGCAGTGGATTAACCCCTTGGGTTCCACAGTTAGTATAACAAGCATGTTTTACTGCATATACAGACTGATTTTACTGCTGTGGACTTAGTAACACTTTAATGAAACAAATTTGCATGGATCCTTTATGGCTCATGTCAATGGGCATTAGATAAACTGTAAATGAATATTACTCCTGCGCTATTAATAGTAATAAATCTAAGCTGCCAGCACTTAGGTGACACAACCCTGGCACCAAACACAGTAGAGAAATAAAATGGTAAAGTAGTGCAGCGCTATAAATACCCTATCCACATATTATTAATAAGTAGCACAAATACTGTGTGTCCTCCCAGTATTATAATATAAGTCCGTCTTGTAATGTGAAACACACACAAAAAAATCATGCAGGTGCTCCCAGCTTCAAACGTGAATCCACAATGACAGGGGTGCCCCCTCACCTTCCTGCCCAGGCCCTGCAGGACCAATGAGCCAGATAAATGCCTCTTAGGTAATCCTCCCACAGCACCTTGGGGGTCTCTTCAGCAATGATGGTGATACTTCCTCCTCTGATGGGTACTGATTACCACTTGGTGCCTCCAGATGTTTAGTATGCAATTACTCCATAAGTACCCATTTCTCTTTATAAAATTTCTTCAGCTCAGACACATTTGTAGGAAGTCTGGTGTGAACTGCTCTCTTGAGGTGTACTTATGGAGTAATTGCAAACTTTTATAACAGAAACAAAGAAAAAACTTTTGTTTCTGTTATAAAAGTTTGCAAATAAATAATTGTTCTTTATAAATTTAGGCCGAGATGTATTCTGCTACATGTCTTTGGTGAAAATAACCCAAATTAGGATGTATTTTTTAGTTTGTAGGAAAGTGAAACCTGAAAACTGGCCTGGGCAGGAAGGTGTAAAATTGCCCAGTATTGTATTGGTTAAAGTGATACTGTGTTACAATACTTTGTTGAACCTTCTAGAGCACAAGTGTCAAACACAAGGCCCGCGGGCCGAATCTGGCCTTCCAGGGGGTCCTCCTGGTCAAAGGTTTATGGTGGTGTCAGCAGGGGTTGAGATTTCAAAGAAGGTTTAGGACAGACAAGGAACCCTAATCAGTAGCCTTAAGGGGGTAACGCTACATAGCGGCATCGGGATCTCCTTTCTCCTTCCAGTGATCCCTCTATATAAAGATTAATACAATGGAATCAGGACCTCCTTTCATCTACTGGTGATCCCTCTAGTGATAACTAAGATTTATATAGGACAATCAGGACCTCCTTCCTCCTGCTTTTTAGTGATGGTGAAAAATCTATGCAGTAAAATCAGCACCTCCTTCTGCCTGGTGGTGATCCCTCTAGTAATTCATTGCTTCCCCTGTGCTTGGTCATGCTGGTTGCTCATTTTGCACTCAAATCTTTTTCTCTCACAAGGTAAGAGACTGCAGTGAGAGGGTGAACTATGTCAGAGATTTGTGAACACAGCCAAGATCTACACAGGTGATATGATCTACATAAATGTGCCATCTCTGAGCCAGCATTTCCCTTAGAGGGGTAGATGTTGGGTGTGTATGATGCCTGAATAAAATTAGTGCTGTGTTCCTGGAGAGAAAGGTGGATGAAGAAATTGTCAGGGTACTGTGATCTCTGGGAGTGATATTTGCATTGTTCTGTCATTGCAACTGCATTGCAA